AAATAAGTTGGCTACTGTAGTAAATGTTTACATAAATATTAATTGATCATATTTCGATCTTAGAAGTACGGAAGGACGTCACCGAGTGGATGTAACCAGAATGCGCGTTACTTGCTCTCATCCGTTGATGATGCCAATTGTCAGGTGTGAGTTCTCATTATCTAGTTAAGCTTTAAGTCAAGCATACATTTGCTCAATTGTTCCTTTTAGTTGGTTGTTCACGCCGCTCAAGCGCTTCTCCTCAACGCCACCGCTCGACCGATTTGCCCACCGAGGTGTGCCTCTTGCTCTCTGTGCCGTAAAATTTGATTATGTGTTGATAATCAAATGTGGTACCTTGATATGCAATGATTCTTTAGGAATGTTTAAAGGGATTGACATCGATCGTGAGGGAACATTTACGCGAGTCGCGAGTTACTTAAACGGGATGATTGGTACACGGTGGTGGGTTTTCGAAGAAAGAAGTTTGCAGAACAGAATCTAAGATCTTTTAACTAGATTAGACTTACAGATATGAATCCCTGACGTAATCAGTTTTAAATCCAATCCCTGACAAGGATTGGAGTGCATAAGGCATTTCTAGATATCCTGGAGTTTAGAACAAATTCAACGAGAATTAGTTGGTCTTCCGCGAAAATAGTTGATAAAACTGGTATGCTAAAGTTATTTTCCTAATTTCCAGGAGGGACTTCGTCGAGTGATCACGGCGGCGCTCGAGAAGATGGCTCGCATGTCGACCATACAGACGCAACAGACGAAATCGATGGTAGACGAGTTGCAGAAGAAATTGAAGAGGGCCATTCAACCGCCATCAGCCATCTCAACCACCGCTCAATGAGGGACAGGGAAAATGGTTTTGTGTGCGTGTGTTTGAGCTCGCTGGATCGAGCTTTTGGTGGGTAGCTTTTGTTTTAAGTCTTAAGGAAATGGACTTGAAGTTGAGAATTAATTTGAGACCAGGGCATCTTATGGAAAAAACATCAAAACTGGACATCTTCAGGGTTAAGCAGTTGAGCGAAGAACCGATTTTCAGGCCAAAACAAAAGCCAAATTCGAGTAATCCCAAAAGGTTTCACTTGGTTTTGACTTTGGTTTTTTACCGACTATGAAACTCTTGAATTCGAGAGAAGCCATTAAACGATGTTCAACCTTGATGTTTGAATTTTCCTTGATAATACTAGACTTAATTATTAGATTTAAGACTTAAGGTTAGCTACAGAGTTTATTTTACAACAAATGGCTTACCAGTTTGCTTATCGATTTTCTTTTAGTTACATGATACTCTCGTCATTTTCCCGGCCAAATCCCCGCGTGTCTCCTTATGTCGAGCTTCTCAACAAAAATCCCTCAAAAACAAACCTTTTTCTAGGATTTTCCACATAGTATCATTGTTTGTAGTCATTATTATCTTGTTAAAATTATTCTTGTTATTTTATATATTTTTCACCTTCTTTCCCCATAAACTGGTCGATTTCAGGACATTTATCACACATCTGGTGTTTTTTTGTTTGCTTTTAGAAGTGTTGATGATGATTGATCGTTTTTATAGGTTTTTACACACACCCGATGCTCTTTTATCTGTGTTTTATTTTATTTTTTTTGACTTTCACGTTGTATACACACAAAGTTTTCTGGTATAAATTAATTTTCAAATGACAGTGTTTAGGGAAAGTGCAGGACTTGAAGCAAAAAGACGAACGTGGAAATTGATCCGAAATTCTGAAAAGAGCCGGTAAATTCAATGTGGAAAATAAAAGATCAATAGCCAAGGTCGAACAAATTTACAGCTTGAAAAAGCTTGAAAAACTCGTATCTTATAGAATTAAGGCCATTCTCTAAAGCTTATTCCCTTTCTCTTTCTACCTTCATCTTCTTTCTATTTCTTATTCAATATATCCACTTTTTATATCTTTCGATATTCCGAAATAAAGAAAAGTGGTTAGATTGAATAAAAAGAGATAAGATTACGGTAGAAAGGGGAAAAGAGACAGATTAGAGAATTTAGTTAAAAAACGAGTTTCAAAGTAATTAAAGTAAAACTCTGGATAAGTTTTTGGTTGTTTTCTGGTGCTTTATGCTATTTGGAAGAGCCATAATGATTGCATAATGATAAAAAGCATTGCAGCGCACCATAAAAGCTGTGTTTATGAGCTTTGTGAGAGCACAGAGTACACTTTGAAGAAGATTTTAAAGATCAAGTTTCAATCTACTTCAACTACAAGTTGTTAGGCGAACATTAACAGAAAGATATTATGCTTTTTACTAAGGCTTAGATTTGAGATTAGATTTGATCAGATTTGAATAAAGTGCACCAGAGAGTGCTTACAAGATTTGAGAGATCACAAAATATTTTATATCTTACACCGGCAATTTTAGCAACCAATTTCACGAAGGTTAAATAGCTAAAAAAGGTTGAGTTTCAATTTGCACCACTATAAACCGGTCTACCTAGGTCTAGGTCCTAGTCTTGATACGCATTGCTTTACTGTGGGCCTGTAGTATTTCTTACCGGTCTTTCACCTGGTTTACAAATCCCATAGCCTCAAACCAGCTTATCAAGGATACCGGATTTTCTCTAGTAGTAGTGCACCCAGAGGGTTGCTTAAATTCGTCAAAATCTCGAGAACCGCTTAGCAGAATCTATTGATGTGGGGTCGGAAAATGTAGCTGACGATTAGATCTTGTGGGGCGTTTGAGTTCAGCTTCTGCAAAAGCTTCGAAACCGTAAAATAGTCACCAACTCGGCTCCCCGGAGTGCATACTATTAGAGAAAATACGGTAACAAATTTTTCTCTTTTTCAAACGAGTATAAATTAAAACCCCAGAGACCCGTTTGTCATCAAGAAAATTGAAACTCAAACTTTTTTAGCTATCTAACCCTTTCGTGGAAATTTACTCGTATCCAAGATTTTGGAAGAGCCATAAAAAACTGCAGGTTGAGTTCGCTTTCGAGATGGGACGGGAGCGGGACAAATGCAACCTTTTTTTGCGCACCCGGACATTTTTTTTCCGCACCTTGCCCATTAGCGCACCTTTTTTTGCGTTTTAAACAACCTCTAAAAAGCTAATATTAACGAATTTCTATTGCAGTTTGAGAGTTATAGAATTCTAAAAGGTCAATAAAATTGAACAAGGAGTGGAAAAACTAATCCAATTTTTACATGAACTTCTTTGAAACATGACTTTTTCTTTGGCTAAAGAGACAGATTAGAGAATCAATTAGTTAAAGAGGTAATTAAGGTAAAACTCTGGATAAATTGAGTAATAACATTTGAATTAAGCACAAATCTTTTTTGGTTGTTTTCTGGTGCTTATGCTATTTTTTAGTAGCTAGTGAGACTAACAAAAAAATTCTAGCAAGAGAAAAGCTTAGGTTTCAATTTTGGGCAAGTAGGGAAGTGAGGAAGTCTCGATAATCCTTTGAACCCCAGCAAGCTCTTCAGAAACCGGCTTTCACCGGCATTTTGTGCGTTTAAAAGTGCTACTTGGTTTTGCTTTTTAAGCCTTTAAGTCAGTCAGTCGATACAGTGCTCAAACAATGCTCAAATTAGGGTTTGTTAAATTCTTTTGTTTCAAAATTTATTGGTACTTGGTAAGAGCAATTACCCAAAAAAGTCTCAGAACCATTCCGACTGATTCCAACTGATTCTAATTGATTTTAACTGACAGGTATAGGAAAATGAATAACATTTTTACTTTTCCACATTTTTTATGAACTATGTGCAAATTTTTGAGTTAAATTTTAAAATATACCCATCATTCGCCTGTCCCCTTCTTGTTCTTATGGGTGACTCCTTTCTCTTCGATCCTTTGATGTTATTGATGGATTCTTCAGGCCGTGTAGCTTTTGGATCATCCGCCCCACCCAATGCATCCAATACCTAAAAATGAAAAGTTGAAGCATATTGCTGTAGGCGAGTTTTTCAACGGAACAAATCCTTGTTCAAAGCTTACCCAGAAGGGGTTCACAGGATTTGAATTTTTGCATAAACGCGCGCCCACACAGTAGAATTTTTTCGAAATAACCGCGATTTTTTCATAGGAAAATGAATAACTTTTTTATTTTTCTACATTTTTTATTGGAAGATATACAGTGGTCCACAAAAGTAATGCCCCATTGCCATTTTGGTCAAGTTAATCAAAAGCATTACAACTAATCATGGTTTGCTTTATGGAAAATAAAGAACAAATCCTTGTTCAAAGCTTATTGTGCAGCCAGAAGGGGTTCACAGGATTTAAGAGAGTACAAAGTGCATCCTCATCTTTGCATGATTATCTTGCTAAAGCCAAGGCCAGAGTCGTTTACTTTGAAACTTTGCTTTTAAATTTCCATTTCACTACCAGAATCTGAAATGAATGTGTGAAAAGAATGAGTACGCGAGGACTTCTGTGATGTCGTCCTCAAAGAATACACCGTTTTAGGACATTGTCACGTGTGAATGTGTGAAATGTGATCGACGATATCATCAGAGTGGAGCGAGGCTGGGTTGTTTTATGATAAAAGCACGACCAGATAAGTTTTTTCAACAAGTTCTTTGTTGACAAAAAGTACCTTTACCTGTCATCTTTCCTTTACGCCCTTTTCTTCTTCGTCAACAACGTCATTCCACAAACGATGACCACCATGGGACAACTCTATCAGGTAAGAGGAAACAGAAAAGGTCTCTTCTCCCTTTCTAGTATTCTAGTTTCTAGTATTTCTCTCCCTTTCCCCTCTTCCGCATTTCTCTTTTCCACATCTCATTTCCCCGTCTTCTTTTCGATTCTCAGCACATTTGAAAGGGCTTGTTTTGTGCGAGGCCAAATCATCCTTCCCAACACACAACCAAACATGGATGGAGAAAGTGGGTATGATGAGGTGAAGATTCACGATGGATCGCTGAGTCCGGAAGAGATTGAGGCAAGGCAGTTGGAGGGGAAATCGAGAAGTTGTCCCTCTCTCTCGCAGACAACACCAAAACTTATTTACCCAGACTTACCGTAACCCTTAGAAAATCGATTTTCCAAAGAAAAACCCCAAAAATGCCGAAATCTCAAGAAAAGACCAAAAATAGCAGAAATTTTGGATTTTCGCATCATCTTATCTCTCCAATTTGAAACCCGATTTTTTTCTGTCAAATATTTTCCGTTTTTTCCAAGAGACTCATGTTTTTGTGGTGTTTAAAAGGCAAAAATGAATAGATTTTAGTAAAGAGTCAAGGTTTTCGGTAATGAATGAATGCAAAATGGCACAAGAAAAGCCTCAACTGAAAACTCATTTTGCTCTCCAAATCGAGCACTTTGAAACAAAGAAATTTCAGATCAAACTTAATTGCAAGTTTTAGCACATTTTAGAATATTCAGTGATCAGAATTTTGATATATTTTGATATTTTGCTAATTTTGATATATTTTTGAAAACGGATCAAAAAGAACAAGTTTCAAAGTTGGTCTTAAGATGCAAGAGGTTGAAGATCTAATGAGCTTCGAAAGCTTCATTTGAACAGAACAAAACTGAAATATTAGAAAAGGAAAGCTTTCACCTGAACTCAAAGAACTCAAAATTAAAGTAAAACTCTCGATGCATACTATTAGAGAAAATACGGTAACAAATTTTTCTCTTTTTCAAACGAGTATAAATTAAAACCCCAGAGACCCGTTTGTCATCAAGAAAATTGAAACTCAAACTTTTTTAGCTATCTAACCCTTTCGTGGAAATTTACTCGTATCCAAGATTTTGGAAGAGCCATAAAAAATCGTCTAGCTCTTTACATTCCCAAGCTCCTAAAGCTCTTAAATGTTTCAAATTCTTCCAATTTGACCCCGAAAATCCGATCTACCGTATCCATTTCCCATGGCTGGCCGCAAAACTTGACAAAAACGAGTGAAGATAAGCGACAAAAAAAGGCAAAAAGAGACAAATTACATGCAAAAAAAACGGCTTGAAAAAGAGAATCTCCGAACGACAAAGACGACAAAAAGTGTGCGGAGAGGAGGAAGAGAAAGAACATCGCTTTTTTGATGAGAAAATTAGCCACACCTCTTTGTGTCGAGGGAGAGAAAGCAGCGTACTAAAAAGGCATTGAAAAAAGTTGAGTTTCAACTTTTGCAAATTGGCGAGTGGTTTTGGTTTCGTAGTTTCCCCATGGCAGATACCCAAAAAGCGATGATAACTTTGGGCAACGGCGCCTTCAAACCGTGCTACCGCGACGCGCAAGTCATCGAAACGACCGCTGGATCAAAAGTTCGTTTAAAAGAAAATCGCTAAAGTAAAATGTTCTTGAAATGCAAGTTTCAACGTTTGATTCCTGATTTCATCAGCATTTTTGTGTCACAAAAAGACAGAGAGAGAAATCTTCAAGTTAAGGAAAAAGACGTTGTTTCTAATTTCTTCAGTAGAAGGCTAATTTCTTCATTTCAAAACTATAGCCTAAACTAAATTTGGCTATGGTTATTTCGAAATGGATATGATAGTAGTTACGAGAGATGAACGAAATCTGGTAGCGCATCAAAAATTTGGAATCCAAGTTTCAAAGTTTATGACTAGAGATGACCGTCAAGAAAATCAATTCGAATTTCGAAAATTTCGGGGATGATTTAGAATAAAGTCCATGAGGGAAACGAGCGAAAAACTTGAGTGAAACCTTCAAAAACTTGATAATGCCACAAAAATGAAAAACCTAAAGGGTAGAGTCTTAAAATAACCGACTATGAAAATTAAAAAGACTAATAAATTAGCATAACAGCTTAATCTTTTATTTTTACCCACTTTATCCATATCTTTATCGAATCAAATTCTAAACTTTCTTCTAAGCTATGACCTAAGCCTTTAATTAGTCAAATTCATTTTTTAAATGATCCAGTCACGATATGAAAACAGGTATTAAGCCAGTAGTCTCCAAAAATAAAATACAAGTTTCAAGGTTAGGGTAAATGGCTTGAAGAAGGATATTCTTTGAATATTGAAGAAGGATATTCTTTTTTAGATCTTTTAGATCTATTAGATCCAGTTTTAGAAACGATAAACTTCCTAAAAAGATGAGAAAGTTAAAGTTTCAAAATATTTTTAAGAAGAATCAGCAATACTACTAATTCCTCTTTTTTGAAAGTTATTTAAAAATTCTCTTTAAATTAAAAAAACTAGATTTTGTCAACTGATAAGCTCCAAAGTGAAAATGTTAAAATTTTTAATTTTGTCAGCTAAATGTTAATTCTTTCTTTTCTGATTTCCCAATTATTGTGATACTGGTGTCTTTATCTCAAATCCAACAAATCCATTTTTCTTCTAGGCATGCCAATCGGCGTTTAGCGAATCCGATGGACCCGATGGATCTACTCATCAATTGATAATTGATAAAAATTGATTTATTGGTTATTGATATTGATAAAGAATGATTGTTTGATTGATAAAAATTGATTTTTAAAAAGTTGAGTACTTTGAAAAAAGAGTTTTAAATGAAATTTGAATGAAATGAGATATGTCACCATTAAATTAATAGAACGACTATCAACCTTATAAACAATGAAACACAACATTTTTGAGAAAAAGAACTCATGAAAAACTCTGGAAAATTCAGTCTAAAATCAGCCATCTCGTTTTTACGCGAGTCTTTCAACTCATTTGTCTGTTGCTTTGGAAAACCATCCTAAAATTTCAAAGCTAAACTTGATGAAAGTAATGGATTTTGGCATAAATAAAGCTTTCCGACAAATTCTGCTTGCAAACTATCTTGAAACATCGATTTTCAATAAGGATAACATGCAGAAAATGAGAAAAGGGCAATAGTGAATTGATGTGAGCGCTGACAACCACACATTATTTTTGTCTAAGACTTCTGGCCTAGCTTGTTTGGCCAAATCTGGAAAATCGTTTTCAGACCAACTAGAGCTGGTCTGAAAGCGATTTTCCAGATTTTCCAGAGCCTAAGTAGGAGAAAGTAACATTGTCAGTAACAGAGAACCAAGATAGTAACATTGTCTGGCACGAATCAAGATGGCTAAAAATTTGCAACCTAGGGTTTTCGGGATGAAGAATCCGAATCTGACATCAGTTTTTCACAAAAAGTCAAAGCTGGTGCCAGATTTGGATTCTCCATTCACCCAACAAAAGTTTCCAAGAATTGCACCTTAATTTCGAGTTTGACAGCTTTGTTTGAGCACTTGGTTTCTCAAAATCAGCGATGGTTTGAGCATTTTGAAACATGCATTTGAGACAGAGCTTTTCATTTTCAACAAACCCAAGGCTTTTTCTCTTCCAAAATCCTATCTGCTTCCAATTATTTGAGCTCCTCATTTTCTGTTCACTTTTTGCATTTCTTTTCATTTCCAACCCTTTTTGGCCTCTATTTTTATGTGTGTGAGAAGGGGTTTTAATGAATGGAGGCCAATTTCAGCGTCTCTTTTTCCCATTTCTTTTTTCCAATTTTTTTCCACATCCAAATGATCAAGTGCCCGAGAGTGCTGGAAACATTTTGTTTGAAAGATTTCAAGCGTAATTCGAAATTGCGAGTTTCAAATGATCTAGATATGCTCTTACTTCCGTCTGAGGCTTTTCATTGTAGAATTTGTTTTTAGATTGTTTATAGAAATGATATGTGTTCTTTTTATTGCTGTTTTCCAAATCAAGTATTTGAGAGTCTTGTCAAGAATAAATCAGATAAAAAGAGTCGGCCTTAGGAGAAGAGGATTACGAGTTTCAAAATGTTGATGAGTCAAAAATCCCGGGGTAGGGTAATGGTTTCGTTAGGTCATTGATCACTTAAAATATCTATAAGCAAATGAAAAAAATTGTTCGTTTGATAAAAGGTGTCCCTTTTTCTAATCTTATTTATTTTGTATCTAATCTATTGACTTTTTGCCTTTTTCTGTGTGATTTCACAAAAGACATCTAAAGATATAAAAAGTGGATAGATTGTCTAAAAAAGAGACACGATTACGGTAGAAAGAGAAGTGGGACACGTTTCGGAAAATGAAAGAACCAGTTTTTTTTGTTGTTATCTAAAACAACTATAAAACAAATGTAATGCATTTTCTGTAACCAACCGGTGTCTAGAATCATGTTAAAGCGCTGTCCCGGGGTACCGATTGAGAGTTGACCGATGTAAACGATCTGAAAGGGATACAGTTTTTTACCAGGCCCGATCACCAGGCCGAGAATTTTCGCTTGCGACGGTAAAAACACTACAAAGTTCTAGTACGCCAAAAAGTATTCAACAGAGCACCTGAGCAATTTTCTGCTTGGCCTCCTCGGTGATCTCGGGTTCCGTCGGGGCTTGAAGCGGCAACGTTTGGCAAAAGAAGTACAATCACAAATAGAGATTTCATTTTTTCAGTTTGAACAAAATTGTGATCTGATTCTCGGTATTGCCGAGAAGAGTGATTTCATACCCCACTTTATTCCCTCAATTGGATCGGGGTCAAAACTGGTTCCTGGGACAATTAACTCCTGATTCACCCCAATTTGCTAGGTGTTTATGATGGAATTTAGTTTTAAATGTAGACGAAAACAAAGCTTTATTGATTTATTGAGATTTAGGGAAGATATTTTTTTTGCAAAAGTTTAGTTATGAATTTAATTAATCGCTTAAAAACGGCTTGTCTTGAACTTTGTTTTTTGTATAAACATAGTACAATGTCTGGCGGATAATTGGTCTCGGTCGATTGCGCGCACAAATCGTTCTGTGCCGCACTCGATTGGGTTTTTTTTGCCGAGTTCACGGTCAACTTTATCCCCAGTCAATCATTTGGAGAATTTTTTAAAAGCTTTGAGTCATCATTGAAACGGATTTTAGTAAACAGATTTGGTCTTTGGAGCATATTTTTGGTAACTTTAGTGGAAATGTTCTGACGCAACTTATCACAAAATTTATTAATTTAGCTTTAAGTCTAGTTGGATGGCACGAGGCCAATGTTGAATCAAAATCAGTTGGAGTCAACCAAGGGTTGACTAATTTGAAACATTTCTTTCAAAATCACGAATTTCGATTTTAAATCAAATTAACAAAGAAATAAAAAGCTAAAGATAAGAAAAATTACCTAAATTTAACTAAAGAATAAAGTTAAAGGGAATTAGAATCCTTAGCCAAAAAGCCAATGCTTCCCATCCAATCGGGAATCAGTTGGAGGATTAAAGATTCAAATTCGATAGGAATTCTAGGCTAGACTTGAATTTACGAACAATAATACGCAAATCTTTTTTCAGAACGTTCTCAGAACTGCCGAGCAAAGACCTAAATCAATCTACTTTCAGTTGAAACTTAGAATTTTTAAACACGCAAGAAATTATTGTCTGTTCAGATCCCGCTCTAGTGCCGATTAAATTGAAACTTACACTTTAAAAACAAGGTTTAATTTAGAAAAATGCTTTATTTATTTAAATTTGGTTTAATTTTAACTTATCTAATCTTAAAATTCTTGCAGTTTTGCATAAGAATTCAATCGATATTTTGAAATCTTTAGGTAAAGCAAAAGCGAAGAGGACGCTTGGCGAGAGATCCAGCACGAATTGGAGGAGATGGGCGTCTACTCGTTCAAGGTTTGCTAATTTACAAAATCTTCAATTTCTTTAAAGATATTGTAAAGATTGTAAAAGTAAATGAGAATTTCTAGATTTTAGCTCGCTTTTTGATGAGGGGATTATTAACCTTTAGACCCACACCATCACCCACAATAACTTGAAACCGATAAAATTTCAAAGTTAATAACGATTATTTTTTGTTAACTCAAGTTTTAAGGGTTTTTCTTATTTATTTCGCAGAAATTTCTCGATAACTTTGTATTAGTTTTGAAGAGGAGATTCAGAGCTATCGAATGCTATAATAGTCTAGTCTATCTTTGAATTTACACTAAATTATCACTAAATTATTTACGCTCAAAATTTCGTTGCCTAGATTTAGCCCGATCCAAATTTTACCATATCTATAGGGAAAACCGTGGATGCGCCTCCGGGATCACGATTGGCAGTATATAAGAGACACTCGATGAATCGATACGAGAATGGGAAAATCTCGGTGGGGAAATTATTCAACAAGAAATTGTTCACCCGTCTCGTGAATTTACTTCCGTTAACTTGAAACCTAGCTTTTCAAAACTGTTTTTGAACTATTGACCTTGCTTAGGAAATGAAGTTTTTGCATTAACATTTCTATGAACACTTGCAAGCGAAATTCTTTGAAACATCATCTGTTTGATCAGTTTGATGATTGCTCTAACTAGTACAGCTGTACTTTGTACGCAAGTAAGAATAAATGAGCCTTAAACTGTAGAAGGAAGGTAGTGGAAAGATGAGGGAAAGAATGAAATCAAGTGGTGAATAATTGAACTATGCTAACAGTATTGGAAAGCCGGATAGTACTGTCTAGTGCAACAGGAAGATTCAAGTTTCAATCTGGCCAATCAGTCGGTGATCGTTTTATGATTAGTTAAGCATCTCCCTCGTGGATCCCGTAAACGCTCCCTTTCTGGCGCACTGTACAATTTCCCCTCGCCACAACGGTGTCACGAGGGAAATGGGAGAATCGAGTGCACCGGAAAGGGGCTGTTTATGAGATTTGAGAGACCAAAAAATTGATTCCATCTATTATTTCTTTCCGACTCATTGATCCACGACGATTAATCCAACAGACCCTTTAATTAGATCAAAAAATTTGAAACTTTTATTTCACTCGCTGAAGATTTCACTCAATTCCTTTGCAAGTTTTCGATATCAAAAACTATTCAGAGTTATTGAAAATTGAAAAATAAACTAGAATCTAAAGCATAATTTTAACACGTTTCAGACGGGTTCGTCTCTCCCTCCGAGTTGGACAGGATCGTCGTCGAGATCGTGCAAGACGACAAAACCTCATCAATCAACAACAATGTTAGCCGAAGTGAGTGCAAAAATATTAGCTTTCCCTTTCAGAGATCTATTTTTTCGTTCCGAATTTGGTGTGTTTATTTTTAAAAAAGCACTAATCTTATGTCCCATGTATCTTATAAAGATTGACTGAGAAAAACAACATGAAAAGCAGGTAATATTTAGTCATTAGTTCATTGGCCTTTGGCTCATAGACTAGTCCAGAGGCATAAAGGCCAGGCCATTTACCAGCTTACATAGTAAAAGCCAGGTTTACCAGGTAAGCTGGTAAGCTAGGGAAGTCAGACCAGGCCAGAAGTCAGAGCAAGGGATTTTGTGGACCAAGCTTGTAGTAATCTAGACCATAGCAAAGCCAGAGCCAGGCAAGACCAGTCTTGGCTTCCTGAACTTGCCTTCAAAACGACCCTGGTCAAGAGTCAAGCCTAGGTCAAGCATTTTTATTAAGCTACAAAAATCAAATAGGTCCTTTATTTCCAGGGTGTACAGCCTTTCATAACAGATAAATTCCGAAACACAACTTTTTTCCTATTTTTTCCTATGAAAGAATTCTGAGTCTAAATTTTTCCGGGATTCATTTTTTTTTTTGATTTTGAAAGTTTTCCTCTTCTTAAAATCTTCACAAGGAAAGGTTCATTCCCAGGCTTACTTTTGGAATGTCGGATGTCATAAAATGAAGAACTCCGACTCGCTTCTGCAGCTGGCAGCAATCTGAAGCCGATTTGTGTTTCAAATTGAATTAATCAAAGGAAAAGCTTTTGTTAGAGTTCTAAAATCAATTGCGATAATCGAATTATGATAATTGCAATCTCCTGGCACCATTTCGATAATATTAGCTGATCTGTGAGTCAATTTTTACAGCAAAAATCGTGTTACAATGTTCCTAAAGCCATTGTTAGTCCGTGAAAAACCGGAAATACACTCCGAGTGTAAGCAAAACAAAAAAACCCAAAAACCCATCGAAATTTCACCGCCAACCTATCAATCGCCTCATCGCCAAAAGTCGCTCGCATTTTTTCTTCTCGATTTCCCCCTCAACTGCCTTGCCTCAATCTCTTCGGACCTTTTATCAAACGGATTACCGTATTTTCTCTAATAGTAGTGCACCGAGAGCGTCGTCTAAATTCCTCGTAATCTCGAAAAGTGCTTATCAGAGATCTGAAAGTGTAGCTGACGCTGACGATGAGATATTGTAGTTGACGTAGCTGACGATAGCTGACGAAGCAGCTGACGATCAGATTTTGTGGGAGGGTTCCGAGTGTTCAGCTTCTGCAAAAGCCTCGAAACCGTAAGATCGCTATCAACTCGGCGCCGTGGGAGATTCGAGAGAGGCCACGGTCAGCTGAGTCCTTCTAAGCGTGTACGGCTATCACCAGCGAAACATTTGAAGCCCTAGTGAAGTTCAATCTAATATTGATAATGATGGATCATCAACATAAAGTATCTTCAAGGAAACTACCGCTTTTTGAAACTGGCTTTTTTAAATCCTTTTAAAATCCCGAACAATTCTTTCATTTGCTTATAGTGATATTTTAAGTGATCAATGACCTAACGAAACCATTACCCTACCCCGGGATTTTTGACTCATCAACATTTTATGTTTAACATTATGCATTATGCAACAACGATCTTGCAATCGTTATAGCTCTTCACAAATAGCATAAGCACCAGAAAACAACCAAAAAACTTGTCCCAGGTTTGCCTCAATTACTTTGAAACTCGTTTTTACCTCGATTCTCTAATCTGTCTCTTTTCCCCCTTTCTACCGTAATCTTATCTCTTTTTTATTCAATCTAACCACTTTTTCTTTATTGCGGATATCGAAAGCTATAAAAGTGGATATATTGGGTAATAAGAAATAAAAAGAAGATGAAGGTAGAGAGAGAAAGGAATAAGCTTTAGAGATCGACCACCTTGTCACCATCGTATGCGCATTGGCTTCAATCGAAATCGACGAGGTCGATGATATGCCGATGGAGCAAAGCGGAGGGCCTAACTCGTTTTCTTACGGCATTCAGCATCAGCGTCAGCAAGCCATTTAAGGAGAAAACCTGAAGGACTACTTGAAAGAATGGATGGCTGACAGCCAAAACGATCAATTCACACCATCAGGGCGAAAGAAGCGCGCGAGCTACGAAAAGTCGCTGAATGGGTGAGAGAAGAGTTTCCACACGGTTCCCACTTCTTGCATTGTCAACGGATTTCGACGAGCGCTGACCGATAAAACTTAGTACTGTATTTTTATGTTGTTATGCTTGTTTTGAGTCTGATACTGTTGTTTTTGTTGTTATATAAACGCTTTTTACAAAGCTTGTTTGAATTTTCCATCTGAAACGGCTAAATTAGCATATTGTTAAAAATTTGCATGTTAAAAAATTCAAAAATTGCACAGTATGTTAGTTGATCAATAAATCCTGCAACCATCATTTTAGCTGTTCAATATTCGCTACTGTCTCTATAACTTATCGACTAAAAGAAAATGGGATCCGGTAACTCGAAGGAGACAATGAGGGTAAGTGACCCTAATCTGATCTATTCTCGCATAAATATTTAACTTGTCTATTGATCGCTTTTGCCCGTATTGATTCTAAGCTTTGAGGTCTGAGCCGAAAGCTCACTACCCCTACAGCGGCAACCGTCCAGTTGCTCTCCTTTATCAGCTAGAACTCCATCGCCGGCAATTTGCAACCATCGAACTAGGGTGCACCTTTCTTGTTGATCAGTTTGAAGAATTAAGCGAAGTTCATCACCTAAGACAACGAATATTAGTCACATTTTGCTCAGACTACTTGTATTTCCATCTTTTCTTGCAACGAGAACTCCCGGTAAATGATCTTGTTGATCAAGATCTGGATTAACCGGCACAAGCATGTTTCCAGGCAAATCGTAAGAAATTGTTCGATCCATCCACTCTACATCAACAGTAGTCGATCCATCCACTCTACATCGAAGCACCTAAGCCCACCGTTAATGAAAAGCTCAAAGATTACCTCTCCAATGAATTCATTTCCAAAAAGGTCTTTTGCCTGTCTTGCCGTAGTTTTGTTTGTTTACGTTGATCGCTTGATTTCTGCGTATACGTTTAACTCGTCTAAACATAAGTCATTCTTTTATTTGCCTAAACCCCACACTCTCTTCATTCTGGGAAGATGACCCTTTCGAACAAGCCCCGTTATCCATCCGAGTTCAATTGGGGTCTTGATCATCACTTGATCAAGCAGTTTGTCTAAATTCGAAAATAAATTGTACTCTGATTAACTTTACTTCTCCAAGTTGCATGGTCTCGTCTTTTCTAGATCTAATATTGCGCGCTACGTGTTTTTCCAGGGAGCACCAAAATCCGAAGTTACCTAAATTTATTTCTGCCTAAAAAATAGAAGAAACGCAACGACAAATAACGTAAACCCTGGCAAATTTCATGGTTTATCCCCAACCTTTGCATTAATGACTGTCCAAACATTCCTTTCCTTTGTAATTGCATTCAATGGCTTTTTCTTCATCGTTCGGAGCTCGCTCTGATACTGACCTCCAGTTTCTCCAAGGCTAAAGCCACGGTCAATCTAGTGCCCTAACGAGAACTTATTTTTTACACATAGATTTCGTTACCTTCCTCGATGCATCTCTTTGTTTTGACACCAGACGGAATCAATCCTGTTGTAAAAAAGAAGACTACCAAACCAAAATTTGCGTACTCTGGGGACTTGTCGAAGACCATGATCGATCTAAACATTTTCGCTTAAGTTGTTAACACAGAGGTACATTAACCAACGCGTAGCCAGCTTCACAGCCGACCATTTTCAAATTACAACAGTGTCTTCACGTGTAGGCATAGGACGAGAAAGATCAACAACCCTTCTCTAAAGTTTATTTTTGTGGCAAGGAACAAGGCTCGTAATACTTACAACTTTATCTTACATCGTATGGTAGCTTCAATTGCTTTTCGACAAAACGCATACCAAGAGACTCTCTCCGGCAGAATCGCTACTATCCGATTGCCGAAATGTTTCCGACTCCTTGAGTTGTCCATTCGAGCGCGTTCTCACCATGTTTCTAACAAAGCACGATTCATAACTAAAACATTTTCGAGACAGCCAAACGTACCAACTGCTTGAAGAGCTTTCC